AGAGAGAGAAGAGAGAGAGAGAGAGAGAGAGAGAGAAGAGAGAGAGAGAGAGAGAGAGAGAGAGAGGAAGAGGAGAGAGAGAGAGAGAGAGAGGAGAGAGAGGAGAGAGAGAGAAGGAGAGGGGAGAGAGGAGAAGAGGAAAGAGAGAGGAGAGAGAAGAGAGAGAGAGAGAGAGAGAGAGAGAGAAGAGAGAAGGAGACGAAGGCGAAAAGGGGTGACTAGAACTGCTACATCCCGGTGGGCGGCGATCGTAGCCTTGTGAGATGTACGTGAAAGATCTTAGAGGGAGCCTTTGTTCCGTGCGGAAACACGCCCACTCACGCCCACGCCCGCTCGCTTCCTAAGAGGCGGGGAGACATGTGCTGCTCGCGGGCTGTGCTTGGCAAAAGTCCCAAAAGGTGGTTCTGTTGTAGTGGGTTTGTCTGTCTGTTCTGTCTGTCTGTCTATTCTCTTTCTCATTCTCGCTCTCTCTCTGTCTCTGTCTCTGTCTCTCTCTTCTCTGTCTTTCTCTGTTCTCTTTCTCCTCTGTCTCTTCTCTTTCTCTTTCTCTCTCTGTCTCTGTCTCTGTCTCTGTCTCTCTCTCTCTCTCTCTCTCTCTCGTCTCTCTCTCTCTCTCTCCTCTCTCTCTCTCTCTCTCTCTCTCTCTCTCCTCTCTCTCCCTCCTCCCTCTCCTCCCTCTCCTCCCTCTCTCCCTCTCTCTCTTCTCTCTCTGTCTCTCTCTCTCTCTCTCTCTCTCTCTCTCTCTCTCTCTCTCTCTCTCTCTCTCTCTCTCTCTCTCTCTCTCTCTCTCTCTCTCTCTCTCTCTCCTCTCTCTCTCTTCTCTCTCTCTCTCTCTCCCCTCTCCCTCCCTCTCTCCCCTCTCTCTCTCCCTCTCTTTCTCTCTCTCTTTCTATTCCCCCGCAAGAAGCCGCAAGCAAAGTACCCCAGGGGCGTGGAAGCCATCAACATGACTGCAATTCTTATACACCCTTAAGCTAAGAATGTTTTTGTCATGAATACCCAAAGATGATCCTTTGTTATATGGATAAACAATGAGTAGTGTATTATTTTTTTTATCGTGTGAGGTAATGATATCGTTTAGAAAAGCTTGGGGGATATTGGATGATTGTTAAGGTTATAGGGTAAAGTGACTTAGCTTGTGGATTTATAGTAGGTGGGATAAGATTAAAAAGTAAAAGAAAAAAGTGGGTTTTGTGTTATAGATTACATCATGTTTAGAAAAAAAGAAAAGACGAGAGAAAAGAATCTCATATACAATATGAGGAGAGAGAGAGAGACGAAGAGCGAGAGGAGAGAGAGAGAGTGAGAGTGAGAGAGAGTGAGTGACTGTGACTGTTGACGTGAGTGCGAGAGTGAGTGAATGTGAGTGAGTGAGTGAGAAGTGAGTGAGTGAGCGTGAGAAGTGAGAGAGTGAGTGAGTGAATGAGAGAGTGAGTGAGAGAGGGAGGAGAGAGGACGAGAGAGAGAGAGATAGATAGAGAGAAAGAAGAGAGAGAGAGAGAGAAGAGAAAGAGAGAGAGAGAGAGAGAGAGAGAGAGAGAGAGGAGAGAGAAGAGAGAGAGAGAGAGAGAGAGAGAGAGAGAGAGAGAGAGAGAGAGAGAGAGAGAGAGAGAGAGAGAGAGAGAGAGAGAGAGAGAGAGGAGAGAGAGAGAGAGAGAGAGAGAGAGAGAGAGAGAGAGAGAGAGAGAGAGAGACAGAGAGAGAGAGAGAGAGAGAGAGAGAGAGAGAGAGAGACAGACAGACAGACAGACAGACAGACAGACAGACAGACAGACAGACAGACAGACAGACACAGACAGAGACAGAGACAGACAAG